TGATGGCCAAAAATTATTATTTTACTAACTTATTAATTTTAAGTTAAATTGTGCTTTGTTAGTATAGTGTCTGCTAGTTTTGTAATAGATTTTTTTCTTTAAAAAGCAAGAAAAAACAGTAAAAAGCACATTTTGGCTTTTTAATTTATGCAATGGTGGAAATAAAATTGGCAAAATACATGGAGAAAAACTCGAAAAACCGTGTTCGGTATTCGGCCTTCGGCCCAGTGTTTAATTTTGTTCGGTTTCGGCCAAGAATTTTCATTTCGGTGCATCCCTACTTCCTATAGACTCCTTTTGTGTATCACAGAAGGAAAATCATATGGTTTGAAGTGAACTATGAATTTCTATGCTTTAATGACTAGAATAACCCTTGTGAAAAAGTAGTACACTTCTAGTGTACTTCAAATCTTAAAAGTATGTTTTAAAAACGAAAATAAAAGGCCACTTAAGTGAACTTAAAGAGAGTACAAATTCATGACTGTATCTTAAAACGCTTAAGTACTTTTTTTTTAAGTGCACTTTGTAATAATGTCATGTTAAAAGTTATTTGTTAAAATGCATTTTAAATCATTAGGTTTTAATAAGCTTTTGTCATGCTTTAAAGAAGTACACTTATTTTGATGCAATGACTAACATAATAAAGCACATGTAAAGCACTTGATCATAATTTTATCTATAGTATGTTATTTGATATTACATTTCTACTTAAGTGAGTCAAAAAAGCACTCAACTAATTCAACTAATTGCAATTAATATAAATGTAAACTACTGTATAATACATTTTCATTTAAGAACAATTAATATGCAAAAACATTACATCCAGTTTGCATTTTAGAATATTACTTTAAAGTATATGATTTTCGTATTAATTACTCTTTTTAAAAATAAACTAAAGTGTACTTCTGTTTCACAAGGAAACATATGTACAGTTTTACAGCACTAAACATTATGTACTTCCCCAAGCCATGGTTTTGTACATTTTAATCAGAAATAAAACATACTAAACATTACCACATTTAAAAGTCACTTATGTTGTAGCATTCCTCGTTTGTAAATCATGTATGCTAAATGTCCAAATGTAAAAAGAAATCTAGTGCATAAACTCAAAACTGAAGAACTGCAAAAATCAGAATGCTGAGAAAATGCTGCATACCTCATTTTTGGGCACGGTGGCAAAGGGTTTGATGATGGCTGCCAGAGGCACTTTGCACTGCTTTGCAAGGTCAGCAGTGCTGGGGAAGGAATATGTTGTGCACCGCATGAACCTAGGGCTGGCATTCCCTTAAAATGACAGAAGAAAGGTTAATATGTTAAACAAAACCACTTCTATGCTAATATTAGGAGAGAAGTGCAAAGACAGCTGCCATGCTCACCTTGATCCTGCACTGTGAAATCTGTGGTGACCAGTGGAGGCACCTGACCTCTGATGTTTGTGACATACACCTGGCCTCCTCGCTTAGCCTGGTCATCCTCAATCACTTGCGTCTGCAACAGACAGTGTACCTTGAAATTAGAGATGCACCGATTGCAATTTTCTTGGCCGATTCCAATTTCCGATTTTTTGTTAGTGTGATCTGCTGATACCGATTTTTGCCGATTCCGATTTTCTTTCTAAGAACTATAATTGACAGCATATACAAACAAAAATCTACTTTTCTTCAACGCAAAGTTTTATTTTCATAAAAAA